GAGTTTGGCGCGTGCAGCCAGAAGTCGGTGCGCAGTCGTGCCGTTACACAAGGTCATCAGCTTTGTCACCGCTGACAAGACACCATACTCAATCGTTTCGGTTGATTTTGGCAGACGCTTATAAGAAAGACGTTCTAGATTCAAACAACTTCGCAACCAATCAGCCACCTCCAACTCCTCGCCCTTGGAATCATAAACCTCCAAAGTCAGGTCCTTCAAAGCCGGCCAAGCTTCCCGACTACGCTGGACCTGCCTCATGACCCAAACCTGCAAGCTTAGCTTCTCCAGGTGCATTCGAGCAGGTGCTAAGCAAGAAATCACGTTAGCAAACGTGAACTCGGGCTTGGCAGACCCGAAAGTGAGAGAAACCAGGCTGTGCGCATTGCTTGCGATGAATCCCAAGGAGTCAATTGTCATGCCTTGGTAGGACAGGAGCTGCAAGTGGCGCAAATTCTTGTTCATTGTGACCAGCTCCTGAAGCTCCGTGCCTGGTGTGCTTTCCTTTGAAAATCTTAGTGCTACATCTGTAAGGCTGCTTATACGGCCCAATCTGGACAGATTCTCCACATCGCCAGGAAGAACCCCAGACCAGTCAAGATGAAGCTTCGTCAAGCGACTCGAGATAGCGTGATTTAACCTCAGACCAAGCTGCAAGGGCAACGGTCCCTCCAAGGAAAGGGCACTCAGCTGGAAGTTGCAAAAGGCATAGAATGGTGCTTCTCCATCTTGACCGAGCCACTTCATTTTGTCCAGCGCAACATCTGGCGCTATATCTCCCGAGATACGAAAGCTTGTCAAGTGCGGGTAATTAGTGAGCAGGTGCCTCATGCCCTCGCTTGTCAAGTGATCAGTCTTCTCGGAGTAGTGGCGGTCTAACAAGTAGTTAATCAACTCCAGTGATGCTAGATTTGGAAATGCCTTTTCCAAAACTGAGAGCGCTGTGTCTGTCGCAAAGAAGCAATCTCTCAGCACCTTCAAATGTGGATATTGCACGGTCACTTCACCCCGAGTGAATCTTAGAAGGAACCCAACAAAAGGTTCCCTTATGTGCTTTGAAGATGGCCTTCCAGTCAGTGACAGCTCCTCCAGGCAGGTCAGCCTGTCCAGCACGTCCTCCAAGCGTACGATGAAACACGGGTCTTCAGTGCCCTTCTGACATTCTTTGATCTCCAGCCGCCGTTCAACTGTGGCCAAGCGGCAAGAACAAAGCGCACCATGACCAGCTCCCGGGGCATCGTAAGGGACACAACGCTGGGCAGACCCTTCCGAAATGCTTTTGCAACTGTCTTCAGGTATTCCCAGGGCTTGTGAGTGTTTGAGGGGTACAGCAGGCTCATTTTGAACTTGGACAGGTCCAGTCGTGTAACATTCTTGAACCCAGCAATTTTCAGCTTTTCGAGAAACTCTGGGCTTGCATGGACAGATTGGCGCATGCGCAGCTTTTCCCTTGTACTGCGCTCGAGTTTCCAAAAAGCTTTGCATGTCAGCGCGACATCATTGCGCTCAAAGACTCTTGCTGATGGAGCCAATAATCTCGTACAAAACCCCTTCTGGCAACGCGGAGATGCTGACCTCTGCCAAGTCCTGTGGCTGGATTGGCGTCCACCCTTCTGGCAAGACTTCCATCCGGCGACACTCAGGTTCTCGCAAGCCGCCTCCATTGCGACCTCTCTGACTCATCTGCAGTTCTTCCTCTTCTTCTTCGACTCTGACTCTTGACTCTGAGTCACAAATTTCAGAGTGGACGCAGGCGTCTGGAGACAACCGGGCCTCGACATTTCCGACCTTGAGTCAAGTGTGAAAACTCCTTGTGTTCGGGTCCGAATGACGCCGTCAGGACCATCGCCCCCATTTTGCCCGCGCTTTCTGGCGTTTCTCGCAGCGGTCAAGCAACCGCAGTTCGCGGGGATGCAGTTCACAGTTGCGATGTTCAAAAGGATGGAAGCTTCCTTTCTTGTGATGTCACTTGTCAACGAGACCCTCCCCAGACAGAATCAGATTAGGTATGGCTAGAGCCTAGAGCGCCTACAGTAGCTGATTCCTTTCACCATTTTGGCCCTGACCTTGAGCTGTTTGAGCGAGCTACCTTACTTTAGTAGGTTGTACAGATTGAAAAGGGGGCAACAGGAAGTTTGGAGGAGCAATCAACGAGTGCCAGTGGCTCATTCCCCCAGCTGTCCAGACGGTGAGAGGCGCAATGGCGCAGCCTTCAAAAACACTCCAGCCCAATCCTGAAAAGGAGCTGAAGGAGGAAAAGACTATCTTCGATTTCTTTGGGAGGAAGGAGCCTGCACATGTAGGGGCCGGTGTAGGCATGGGCCTGCGGTCAATTGCGAAGGGAGTGTTTGCCGGGGCTGCGGGGCTTGTAATGCAGCCAATGGTGGGACTGGAAAAGGGGGGGGTCCTGGGCTTCTCGAAGGGTAAGTTCCTACATAGGAAAGCTATGCGCTTTTGGAATGATGATGATGGCAGAGAATTAAGAACGGATGAGTCCAGCTCTATTCTTGAGGTTGCTGTTGAGCTCAGAAGCACTTGATTTCGCCGAGCGTGTGTAGTTGGCTGGTATGAGCTTGATCTGATCAGCTAAGGGCAATGCGAGATTAGGTCTCAACTACCAATGCCATTGTTCCGTGGACTGCTCTGTGTGAAGAGCAGTCTTCCCAATCGTTGACGATTTGAGAACTGCTCATGTTGCAATAGGCGGAAATACATAAGGTGATGTATAAAGTCGTCTTTGTCTTATAATTGCTTGAGGAGCATTAAGGCAGCTGGCCCTTCAATCTCATTGCAGGGGTTGCACGAGGCCTTGCTGGCGTCGTGATCCTACCGGTTGCGGGGGTGGGTTATGGGGTGATGCAGATTGGGCAGGGGATCATGAACACCCCAGAGTCTGTAAGTGCCAAAACTTCTAGAGCCTGGGCAAATCTATAGGTTCCAGCCTGATATGGAGGGTCTGAAAGTTCTTAATCATTGCTGCTGAACAGTGTGGCATTGCTTGATGCCAGTTTACATTAGCGGCATGGATTTGCCTTGGTTGATGTCTTGGCAATCTAGTTACAACAAGATACACACACGATGAAGGATATAAGTCCAAGGGCAGCCGAATTGAGCAGTGTGAGACGCGATAGTAAGTAGCAGGACCATTGGAACTGGCCAAAGACACATGATCAGAAGCACCACTATTTGACAAATGCAAATGCAGTGACGTAGTTGTTCTGTCTGAACAGAGTTGATAGACGAAAACCGATCGATGTTCATCTGGCTTGACTAATTGATAAGACGCCACCACAAGGCTAGCAATCCCCAAGCGGAAATCGACGAAGATATTGTCGAAGTAGATGGTTGTTCTTACCTGTGCTTTGAGTTCTAATCAGTCGCCAGGAAATGTAGCCAAATGCGAAACGACAGCCAGTCAATGCAATACTTCTTTCATGTTGCGAGCAGACAATCTTAAACTTGAGATTCCTGCCCCCTTGGTTGTTTTTTGACAATGGGGTTCCCTCCCTATGCATTTTTCCTCGCATAGCGTCTGTACTAGTTCCTGAGGCATACTTTCTTGAAAGAGCCGCGGCTGGCATCCACTCTTAGCGGGTTCGAATCAATGACTGCAATGCTTCAATTTAGAAACATGCACACGTTAGTCAGATAGAGAGTGTCTGGCCGTCATCCCCATACTTGCATAAGTTGCTCGAGCGCGTGAAAGAGGTCGAGAAGGTGGCGGCTGGTGTCGATCTGAGCGAGTTCGAGACGAAGTAGGCAACTTTTTCAGAGATGAACCAGCGTTTCAGAAGCCGAACAGATGAATTATATGAAAGCTTGGTTTTAGTTTCCACAGGTGCGGAAGTTGCTCGGGCGCGATAAGGAGGCCGAGAAGGAGGCTGCTTGTGACGATCTGACCCAATTCGAGATGCAGGACGCCACTGTTTCAAAGATGAATCAGCGCACCCTAAGCCGAACAGATTCATCATCAGCAAGCCAGATTCTAATGTCCACAGGTGCGAAGTTGCTCGATCGCGTCAGGAAGGTCGGGCACTGCTTTAAAGAAGAAACAGTGTACCCTAAGCCGGATAGATGCAGTGCGTGAAAGCCTGATTCTGTTCCCGACAGGTGCGTACATTGCCGAGCGTGATAAGAGGGTCGAGAAGGCGGGGTCGCCCGCGTCGATCTGACGCCGTCGGAGACAAAGGAGGCCATTGTTTAGACGACAATCAGTGTACCCCAGGCCGGATTACGATACTTGAAGATTGATGTCGATTCCTACAGGTGCGTAAGTTGCTCGAGCGGGACGAGGAGGTCGAGAAGGCGGCGGCGGGCGTCGATCTGACGGAGTCGGAGACGAAGGAGGCCATCGTGCTGGACGAGAACCTGTACACGGATGCGCGCAAGAAGGTGATGGAGAGCGCGCTCCTTCATGCGCAGGACAAGACTGGTGAGCCTAGCTGATTCGTGGTCGGCGGTTCAAGGGTCTCGTTGATAAGCGTTGGAAGTGCTTGGTTTACGTTGGTCTCAGAACGCTTGGTTTATTCTGGTCTCAGAGTTCTGGTTCTAAAGCGACAAAAGTTCAAGGGGCACAGATAGCCCGTTCCAATCAGGCTTGGTTTTATCAGGTCTGACCATTCAGCAGATTGGGCATTCAAAAGACTTATGGAAGGTGCACGTGGACTTAGCTCGGGTTTTCAAAGCGAGAACGCAAAACTCTACTTGGATTCTCCAGCGAGAGACTTCTCTAGGGTCTGATGCGATCTTGTGATTAGCAGCACTCGACTGCAAAACTTTCGAAGGTCCAAAGTAAATAATAACATTTTTCCGAAGAGCATTTCTGATTTCTTTGGTACGCTGGTCAACATCGGTTCCTCAATATTGTAAGATATAGAAAAATGATGCGTCCTTAGGAAGCCATTCCGGTAGCACAATTTGCGGTACTTTGCTGCTCTCTTGTTGGCAGGTTCCAATCACCTAGCAGCTCACTACCGTTGCGCATGCGTTCTTCACAGGAAGCGGCAGAAGGGGCAGCGGCAGCCTTAAATCAGTGTCGTCCGGAAAGTCGGACTCGTCGGACAAGGACGACAAGAAGCCGGACAGGGAAGAGAGCCCGGCATTGGGGCGCGTCAAGGAGACGGAACTGTACGACATTCTGGGGGTGGACTCGACGGCCAACCCGATCGAGATCAAGAAGGCATATTACAAGGTAAGGCAAACGGTTTTTGGAATGATGGTAGCAGGATGAAGTCGTGAGCTTTTGATGGGACGAAAGTCGAATTACCAAACGTGAGAGCAAGCATCTACAGTGGCCGGCTTTTACGTTCTTCTCTTTGGCAATGGTCGTTGTTTGCTTTCGTGGCCGACTCAAGCGTTGATCAGGCGGAAACTCAACTTAAGTATGGCGAGAGCGCAAAAGTACATAGATAAGTTGCAGAACATTTGAGGAAGCAGGGTTGAGAAGTTTGGGCGAGTAGAATCCGTGGAACGAGGGTCCTGCAGAAGATACCTATCAACGTAGGTTAAGAACCAATTCAAGTTGCAGTTTAAACAAGGAAACACTACCCACAATATCCCTCACGTCCGGGGTCCTTGCAGTCTGCTGCAAACGTCGGCTTTCTATATAGCAGGCGCGCGAGAGCACTGCGGCAAGCACCCCAGCAGTTCGACGGCCAATTTCACCCAAACTTGACAGAACCTTCTCACGTACGGCACCCGGATCGAGGCATTCAAACCTATCCTGACGACATCACTTTCATGATTATGCACGTAAGTTCCATAGCTGGCGGGAAGAGCCATCCAGACAAGCACCCCAGCGATGCGCTGGAGAGGCCCTTTTGGTATCCCCGCAACCAGCGGCCCAAGGGCAAACGATAGAATATGCTCGTGAAAACATCGCTAGATCGACGACATCGCTTACATAGTGATGTCCCGAAATGTTGCAGCTTGCATACGAGATCTACCTTGACAAGCACTGGCCACCTCACCGTCAAGGTGACGCAAGAATTCTCACAACCCAGGAAATTCGATCTGCTCGTGAAGTTGTCATTGCAATGATGACGTCACTCGACGATGACGCACTTTACGGTGCAGCTGGCGCGCGCGAGCTGCCCCGACAACCGCCGGGGCGACTGATTGGCTTGGAAAGCGAGGAATCGCCGAGGCCAAAATAGGGTCGATGAGTTTATCCAAATGCTTGCATCATTCATTGCTGCAGCTGGCGCGCGAGAGCCACCCCGACAAGCACCCGGGCGACGTGTTCCGTGCTTATCTCCGCACCTGGAGGCCCACTAACGAATTTGAACCGCTCTTATAACATGATTAGATAGGTAGACAACGTCGCTCAATCAATGACGTCACCCTATTTTGCCAGCTGGCGCGCGAGAGCCACCCCGACAAGCACCCCGGCGATGCGGTCGCCAAGGACCGGTTCCAGGCGGTGGGAGAAGCGTACCAGGTGCTGATCGACCCCGAGCGGCGTGAGAAGTACGACCGGCACGGGAAGGCGTCCCTCGACGAGGCGTTCATGGACCCGGGGTCGTTCTTCACCATGGCCTTCGGCGCCGACCAGTTCAAGCACCTCGTAAGATTTCCAAAGGTTTTCTGATCTGTTCGAGTCTGCCATTTTTATGCAGTAGAGGCAGATTGACCTGAGCGGCGCAAAGAGTACGACCAGCATGGGGACGAGGCATCCATGGACCCCAGATCCTTCTTCACCATGGCCTTCGACGCTGACCAATTCGAGCACCTTGTGAGATACTTGGACTTCTATGTTTTTGTGTTGAGGAGTTCTATTGTTTTCTGGGCTTTACAAGTACTTGACCTGGAGCGGTGCAGAAGTACGACCGGCATTGCAAGGGCTCCCTTGACGAGGCAGTCATAGATCCCGGGTCTTTTTTTACCTTGGTTCTCGAAGACGACCAAATCAAGCGCTTGGTGAGTCGGTCAGACCGTTCCTAAAGCTCACAGGGTGTCGGGGTCAAAAGTCAGATGCTAATTTTCGTAGCGCCGCAGATTAGGACCACCACGGAAAGGCTGCCTTGGACGAGGCGTTCATGGAGTTGGGTTTGTTCGTTACCATGGCTTGTGGGGCGGTTGAGATAGTTAAGGAAAGAAGCGTGGTTTGGTATCGTTGGTTTGTAACGAATCTCGTCACTGGTTTGCAGGTCGGCGAGCTGACGGTCGCTTTTACAGCAGCCCGCGAGGTGTCTGTGCCGGAGCTGCAAGAATTCCAGCGGAGACGGGAGGAGGACCTTGCGACCGCGCTCAAGCAAAGGTGATGGTCAGCCCTTGAAACCTTCCTCTTTCGGCGCAGCTCGGAGCTGTGGATTGAGTAATGCACTTGAACGAAGGGGCTTGTGGGTGTGCTCTAATGTTACCTGGCTTGTTCTGTAGTTCTGGCTCAAGTGATACCGTCAAACTCAATTGTGACCCTTCGAGTATGCTGACTGGATTTTGCAAATCTCCGCCCCATTCAAAGAAGGCCAAGAGACTTGGACAGATCCGATATTATTTACGAAATCGGGGTTGTTTGGGATTGCCGACTGAGATTCGACAGCACCAAGATATGTGTTTCAAGGTTTTTCCAACTTGAGTTGGAGAAACCCAGCCACAGGCCAACGGATATCCCAGAAGTGAATGTACTCAATGCGTGTAACCAATACCCTGGGTTCAGCTTGTTTGACGTTTCTCAGTCAAAGTACACGGACTCTGTGAATACTTTCGCCGACTTGTCTGTGCAGAGGAGATTTGTGATCTGGGTAAGAAAGAGCTTTGCAGGTGGAAACGGGAGCTTACTTGGTGGTCGAGGAGGGGGAAGACCGGTCTTGCGCTGCGCTGTCGCTGTACTCGCTGAACAGAAGAAATAGCGCAGAGCTGACGCTCCCGTTACATTTTCGTTGCGCAGGCTGGAGACGTGGGTGGAGGGCCGCAAGGAGGCGTTTCTGGAGGAGTCCCTCGCGGAGGTGGAGCAACTCAGGGACCACGCGTTCGGGCAAGCCATGCTGCACAGCATAGGGTATGCGCTCATCACTACAGCGCCTTGGTCTGCCCATAGCGTTTGGGTCCGCATTAGATGCTTCTCATTGGGACTGGCAGCTCAGGGACCATGCGTTCGGGCAGGCCATGCTGCACTGCATAGGGTGGGCACTTATCACCATAGCATCTTGGTTTGTCCATGGCAATTTGGTCCGCATTGAATGCTTCTCACTGGGAGCAGCTCAGGGATCAAGCGTTCGGGCAGGCCATGCTGCACAGCATAGGGTGGGAAGCGCTCTTATCTGTCCATTCATTTTATGCTTCTCCTTTAAAAACGTTGACGGTTAAGAATCTTGACGAACGGTGGTCCGGGTCCATTGTTTCAGCGTCGGGGGGACAATGACGTAATTGCGGACAAGGACAGGAGTACTCCTCCGTCTCGGCAGGCCATGCTGCATAGGGGGGTACCTGCCATAGCCGCTTGGTTCATATGAAGTGCGTCTCATTGTGGAATATCCTCGTGCCAGCAAAGGCTGCGGTGGGACAAAAAGGGGCTTTGCCGTTCATTCCATTGGACGGGCGCTGCTGTATAGCATAGGCCGGCACTGCTCTCATCTGTCCACTGGCTTTTTAGGTACACGTACGAGAAGAAGGCACACGTCCTCCTTAGGCTGCCTAAAGTCTTCTTGAGCCTCGTAAAAAGCTAACTCAAACCTTGACCTTGAATCTGTTAACTCAATCGCTTTTCTCCTTTACGAGAAGAAGGCGGACGTCCTCCTGGGGCTGCATAATGTCATCCTAAACCCCTTGGAAGTCTAATCCAAACCTTGACCTTGAACCTGTTAACCGGAAATGGTATTTTTTCAGTCCAGGTACACGAACGAGAAGAAGGTGGACGTCCTCTTGGGGCTGCATAGTGGTTTTTCAAGCCCCTTGGAAGTCTAACCCAAATCTTGACCTTGAATTGTTAACCGAAAATGCTTATATACATCCACGTACACGTACGAGGAGAAGGCGGACGTCCTCCTCGGGCTGCACCACACGGCGCTCGGCATCCGGAG